CTGACTGTGCTTCAGTACACTGGCAGTGCCACTTCTCCAGATGAAGTGGGGGGTGCTGCACCTGGCATTGGTGCAGTTTCAGTGAAAAGAGCACAGCAAGGACAGTGAATTCATTGGCGACTGACAGTCTTGGAAAGTGAATCCCAGCTGCAGATGTGAGGACATGCAAAGAGAGGCAGTGTCCTCACTGCTCATTTGACAAATATGCAGCAACTGGAAAACCAGCCATGTGTTCAGAAATGTGTTTCTGATTTCTGCAGAATGCAGGGGCTTCTATGCTCAGTTGCACCAGCAAGTCTCCACACTGAGGCAGGGCACCTGGAGGTGCTTCCCAGGTCTTTAGTTCCAAGTTCCTTGTCATTTAGCACTGAATTATTTGGGGCAGGAACAAGCTGTGCGGAGCTTACAAAATCATGGAATTGCTTTGGTTGGAAAAGACCTTCAAGATCAAGCCCAACTGTTAACCTAGCACACTGCCACATTAGCACTGTACAGCTTTTATCTCTTTGGGTCCTCCACATATCAGTAAATGACAAATAACGATGGTAGACTAATCTAACTTGAGTATTTGTATGGGCATCTTAATTTCAAAAGGATGTAAAAAGTCAAGTTTGTTCAGCTCATAATTTTTTTTCTAGATGGCACCTCATGTTGACAGATATTTTTGTCATTTGCCAGCTAGTCTTCTGAAATTGGTGGCAGTGGTCTGTCATGTTAAGACAATGGAAAATTAGGAGATTTTAATGTTTTGTAAGTCAATGGGGAAAATACTTCAGAGTCGTTGTTGTAAAATCTTCAGTGTTCCCTGCACATACAAGTTAAAAGATATCCAGTTGATTTATACTAAAGTTATCCAGAGTTATTTTTCTACCTGTCAAGAGTTGTTACCTGTTTGGGTTTTTTAAAGTTTATTAAAGGGTTTAGCAGCATCTGTTTGGTCAAACACCACTATGAAATCAGTTTAAAAAATACTGAGGGCAGTTTCACTAGGTTTCTTCTTCAACTGCTGAAATTGTTCTGGAGGTTGAAAAGCATTTCCAAGTAGAAGGTAGTAATACAGCTCTTCTTGTTAACAGGCTGTTGACAGTCTTAGTAATCATGACTGTTTCACCTAAATTAACTAATGTGCCTGTTTATTCTTCCCCTCCTCCCATCAGTATTTGCATTTTTGTTTTTATGGCCATGAAATGATTTGCATTTTAAAGTCTGAATTTAGTTGACCAGTCATCTGCTGCTAATTTGGTGCATTCCAGTAACAGAAACTAATTTTGCTTAGTTTTCAGGAATCTGCAAAGTCAGTCCTGCAAAGCTGCATGGTCTGTTCGTTGCTTTGTTCAGTTCTCTGCTTAGCGTCGATGTTTCCTTAATTGTAGGTTTATTTTTGGCACAAAAAAGTTCTTCTGGTTTGAGTCCATCCCAGCTGTATTGCCAAACTTCATAAATTGCTACAAAATACTACTTTTTGGGGTTTCTTAGAACCTATTGTGTTATTAGTCTTAACATCTTAGTTATGTTTTTGTGTGTACAGTAAGAGTTTGTTAGGACCTGATTTAAATATTTTCCATCCTCGCCTGGGAGTAGGAATATTTGTGCAACTGAAAGTGAATGGTCTGTATAGAGACTTGTCTAGTTTAAGGGAAGTGCTTGCCAGAAAAAAAAAAAAAGAAAAAAAGAAGTAGAGCAAACAGAGGGATCACTCAGTAAAATATCTGAGAGGTTCAAGGCTTTGGGGCTGTTAGGAGGCTCAGTAAGTTGTGGAAGTGATGTGTACAGTCTTCGAAGGAAAGATTGACATCATTTCCCTAGTGATATCTAGCTGCTGGCTGCTTTCCAGAATATTTTAGCAGGCAAAGTGGCAATAGCCTTTTTGTAATTCTTTTTTTTTCCAGTACTGCCTTTTAATAATTAAAAAAAAAAAAAAAAAAAAAAGAAAAACCCAAACCCCAGAGGTCCTTTAAGTTATGAAAGGAATTTGAGAAAATGGACGGAGTAAAAGCGTGAAAATAGGAATGAGGCTTTTGAAATGCTTCCTGCTGCATGTTTACACATTGCTTAAAAAACCTACATGATGGCAGTTACTTGGGCACAGCAAAGTAGGGTAATTGTGCAGATTTAAAGTGGTCAAACTAACCACGTAAGCTAATGTTAGTGTTCTGCTGTGGTAATGCTGCTGCTCTCTGTGGAAAATTTTGTGATCATTTCTTTTACCTTTCAAATGTTAATGTCTTATGGTATCTTCTATTTGTGGAAGATCATTTAGGTAGGTAACTTGATTCCTGGTCTGGCAAACTTGCTGTTAAAAGTACATCTGTATTTTTTGCTGTTGAAGGCTTAGTCACAGGAGAGCTAGGAATGTGGAGAAGAAAATAAGTAACAATTGGAGAAAATAAATAACCAATTGGCAAATCTCACAACTTTTATTCGAAAAGGCATCTTTGTGTCTTTCCTCTTCTCCCATAGAGAATCCCAAACCAAGATATTTTGTATTGTATATTTCCACATTTGTAGTCCAGGGGTTATTTTATGTGCTTCCATGAAGTGTGTTGGAAATACTGGTAGACTGAGTGGTGCAGCTCAGGTGGACCTGGTGTATATTGGCTAAGATCTTATTGATTTTGTGTAATGTTTTGGTGTGTTACTCACCAAAATCAATATGCTGAGATCCTACTGTGGGAGCATCCATCCTTTCCTATCTTGTAAGAGTGTTCCGTTTTCTTTCTCATTCATAATTTTCCAGCGCTGCTTACAGTGTTGGTGTGTGAATTAGCCATTTGTCGTGCCTTCAGGATACTTTGCACACCACTAGGATGTGTTTCGGGTAGATGGTGGGCAGTGAACAGAAGGAGAGCTGGGCTGAAGTCTCAGGAACGTTCAGGTTTTCCCCTTCTCTTGGCAGCTGTCTTGTGATGCAGTTATGCTAACAGGGCGAGGGGGAGACAAGGTATGGTTAAACTCTCAGAAAAAAAACATAAATAGCGGAACGATGAGTGAACAAACCACTAATATTTTTGCTCATTTTTTCCTCGTTAGCTATGACAGGGGGTCCACGTTCAACGTGTTTGTGGGAAAAGGTCAACTTATTGCTGGGATGGACCAAGCTCTGGTCGGCATGTGCGTGAACGAGCGGCGGTTCGTGAAGATCCCCCCGCAGCTCGCCTACGGGAGTGAGGGCGTCTGTAAGTGTGGCACGGGGCTGGTGAACAGCTGGTTGTGCAGGTGACTGAGCAGAGCAGGGAGAAAGAGGAGTCGCAGGAGAGAAGGGTAGAAATTGCAAGTAGGGAATTTCTGAGAGGTTTTTCCCTTTCTTCGGGGCGTTTGTTAAGCCTGCAGCCCAGCTAATCGCTCCAGGCTCCCTCCGCGTGTGGAAGGAAGAGCTGTTGGCTATAGGGGACCGTCAGCAAATGATCCTTACTACTGAAGTTAACTATTTATTTCTACCTACCTCACTGTTAAATAGTTGTGTCTTGACATTGCAGCGCTGCACAAGGTCTTGTCAGTGCCAAAAGCAGCTTTGATCTGCAGACTCAGAGGCAACAAATGCTAAATCAAGAGCAGTTTGCCTGATGGACGTATTTGATAACAGTTCATGTTGCCAGATTCTACCTTCCCTTATGGAACTGCAAGACTGACAAGGGGACAGGGGGATGTAAGCACAAAAAGGAGTAAGTTGTACATCATGGATTTTGTTCAGGGAATGCGTAGATTGGTTCCCATTTCGCTGGTGTCTTGTAGAAAAAGGGAAATAAGACTGATTGTGGTTTTTTTTGGTTTTGCAGCTGGTGTGATACCCCCCAATGCTGTGCTCCATTTTGATGTCCTTCTGATCGATCTCTGGAACTCGGAGGACGAAGTGCAGATTCAGACTTACTTCAAACCTGGCAAATGTCCTCGGACAGTCCAGGTGTCTGACTTTGTACGATACCATTACAATGGAACATTCTTAGATGGGACCCTGTTTGATTCAAGGTACACAGCTGGGTTGTGTGTCTTTGTGTCTTTTAATAGGTATCTGATGTCACTGTAAGCCATCATTTCCTCCCCCTTCACTGGTATAACAATTAATGCTAATTGCCCAGAAAGACAAGAAATGAAATATAGCATCATGTAAGTGTCTGTAATTTATGCAGAGATTACAGGGCAGCAGTACTTACTTAAATCAATAAAACAGTTTGTTATTTCTGCATGAGCATTACCAGCCCAGATTCTTAATTAAAAAAAAAAAGTCATTCCCTATATCTATATTACTGTTTATTGCAGTCAGTTGATAGTTTTTACAACCACAGCAGCAGAGCTGTTCAAGTTAGGTACAAGCTTTCTAAACTAAGCAGTATGTGGTGAAATTGAGCTCCTAACGCTTTCATTCTGAGATTTTAAGTTTACAGCATCTGTATGTCATCAAAGTTCTGTGGACAAGGATGCTTTAATAACAGCTGCCATTATTTTTGTGAGCCACTTTTCAAAACCTCTGTTAGGTTCCTGAAATAGCCAAGCACTCTGGAAAACCCTACCCAGCCAGCCCTTGATAAATCAAGGAGCAATATCTGAAGCAGCAGGTTGTGAGTTATACTGTGCGTAGCATGTGGCTTTTGAAGGTGAATATTGTTCTTTCCTGTGGCTGTCTGATGGTTGATTATGGGGTATTTTGTTTGGGCTTTCTTTTTCATTTTTAGCCATAATCGGATGCGCACTTACGATACCTATGTGGGAATTGGATGGCTGATTCCTGGTATGGACCAGGGCCTCTTGGGAATGTGCGTAGGAGAGAAGCGCATTATCACAATACCACCTTTCCTGGCATACGGAGAAGAAGGAGATGGTAAATGTCAATATTTTGTTCCCCCCCAAGTTGTCCATATTTAAAAGAAACCTTGTACCTTGTATTTTGCATGTATGGGCAGCATTATTACCCATTTTAGACAGAAGGAGTACAGTGATGGAAAGAGAGGTTAAAAATGTATTATGTACCAGATTAGACTGGTTAGAAAGTAAAAGATTAAAAATAATGAATGAAATTACTATCTAGTAGCTCCAAAAGATGGAAGTCAGATGACTGCGGAATTCTTTCAATGACTGCCACAGAGAGCAGGGAAGTTTTTACAAAAGAAAAATGTATTTTTAGTTCCAGTTTTATGCTCTTTTTTTGGCAACTAATGCCTACGTGATAAATACAAGATGGATTCATTGTCCTATGAGACTGTATTCAGCCTGCAGGTCATACATACTGGGTTACATGTTAAATGAGAGGGCAGTTAGGTATAGTTAGTGGTGCTTTTCTCAATTAGAATAGAATCATACAATAGAATGTGTGGGGTTGGAAGTGACCTCTAAAGGTCATCTAGTCCAGTCCCCCCCTGCAGTGCACAGGGACCTTTTTGACTAGATCAGGTTGCTTAGAGCCTGGTCAAGACTGACCTTGAATGTCTCGAGGGATGGGGCCTCGACCACATCTCTGGGTAAGCTGTGCCAGTGACCCACCACCCTCATTGTAAAAAACTTCTTCCTAATGTCTAATCTAAATCTACCCTGCTCTATTTTAAGACCATTGCCCATCATCTTATTGCTACACACCCTTGTAAACAGTGCCTCCCCAACTTTCCTGTAGGCCCCCTTCAGGTACTGGAAGGCTGGTATAAGGTCTCCCCAGAGCCTTCTCCTCTCCAGGCTGAACAACCCCAACTCTCTTAGCCTGTCTTCATAGGAGAGGTGCTCCAGCCCTCTGATCATTTTTATTGCCCTTGTCTGGACTCGCTCCAACAGGTCCATGCCCTCTTGTGTTGAAGGCTCCAGAGCTGGACACAGCACTCCAGGAGGGTCTTGCAAGAGTAGCATAGAGGGGCAGAATCACCTCCCTTGACCTGCTGGCCACACTTCCTTTGATGCAGCCCAGGATGCAATTGGCCCTCTGGGCTGCAAGTGCACATTGTTTGTTTGTGTCCAACTTTCTCTCCACCAGTACCCTAAGTGCTTTTCTTTAGGGCTGCTCTCTCTCACATCATCCCCCAGCCTGTCTTGGTAACGAGGATTGCTCCTACCCAGGTGTATGACCTTGCTCTTGGCCTTGTTGAACCTCATGAGGTTCACACAGGCCCACTTCTCTAGCTTGTCCAGGTCCTTCTGGATAGCATCCTGTCCCTCTGGCCTGTTGATCGCACCAGTCAGCTTGGTGTCATTGGCAAAGCTGCTGAGGATGCCCTTGATCCCACTGTCTATATTGTTGATGTGACAGTGTCCTTGTACTATTCCCAAGACACCAGTCCCTACTTGAGCTGCTTGTGCAGTTCTTTCCTGCCTTTTAGTTTGGCCAGCAGCAGTTCTTGACTCAGCTATGCTTATTTCTTCCCTTCCTTACTTGATTTCTTGCATCTGGGGATTGAGATCTCTTGTGCTCTATGGAGAGCATCCTTAAAGATCTGCCAGCTCTGTTCTGCTCCATTGTCCCCAAAGACTGTTTCCCAGGGGGTCCTACTGACTAACTCCTTGACGAGCTGGAAGTTTGCTTTCCTAAAATTCAGAATCCTGACCATACTCCTCCTCTGACTCATATCCCTGGGAACTGTGAACTCCACCAGTGTGTGGTCACTGCAGCCCAGGCTGCCTCCAGTCTTGACATCCCTGATGAGCTCATCTGCATTGGTGACCATCAGGTCCAGTGTCACATCCCCTTGGGTAGGGCTGGCTATTTTCTGGCTTAAACTCCTTCTCTGCTCTAATGTTTAAGGATGTGTCTGTGGTGTACAAAGTTTCATACCCCTTCCATGACTTCATTACCATTGACTGTGATAGCTGTCTCAGTGGATAACAAAAGTTTGTGGAGTTATGTGTTAAAATTTTGCCAGGATCTTGAGCTCAATAGTTCTCAGTCAAATCAACTTGCACTATAATTTGTGTGTAGATGGAAGGGGACCTTTTCACTGGGATACTTCATTTACCCTTCTTCAGCTTCCACTGTATGTTGTCCTGTTTTGATATTAACAGAATGGTAAGGGCAGATGCTCCACATTTGTAGTCCAGGGGTTATTTTATGTGCTTCCATGAAGTGTGTTGGAAATACTGGTAGACTGAGTGGTGCAGCTCAGGTGGACCTGGTGTATATTGGCTAAGATGGGATGTTGCTGAAGAGGCTGTTTTTTTTTCAGTGAGGCACTGCCATCACAATAGGGCCTGAATGGAATAATTCAGTCAGAGAATTGAGTAGCAAACCCACACATGAAAGAGAAAAAGAGTGACTAGAAGCAGACTGTGGGTGGGGAGGTCATATTTAAGCTCCCTGTAGCTATTTCTTCCCAATTTTCTGCTCTGACACTTCCGTAGGTAAGGAGATCCCCGGCCAAGCTTCCCTCGTCTTTGATGTGGTTTTGCTAGATCTCCATAACCCTAAAGATGGTATCAGTATTGAGAACCAGCAGGTGCCTGAGTCTTGTGAGCGGAGAAGCCAGACGGGAGACTTTCTTCGATACCATTACAATGGCACCCTCTTGGATGGCACGTTGTTTGATTCCAGGTAACCAGCCCCCTACAAACCCCGTTTCCAATCCGACTCATCCGTCAAGCCTGTAAAATACCCGAAGCCAATTCTTTGCCTTTCCTTCCTTTTTGAATTTTTTTGAGTGGAGATGCAAGTCTTCCCTTCTTAAAAAACTCGATAGAAACCGTTCCAATGTGGAAAGGAAGACAAAAGGTCTGTGTTATGTCGCCATCTAGGGGTGGTGATGGACCTGCTGAAGCTGCGTGGGTTTGAGACACTATGGAATTCATCTGCCAAGCAGATAACACTGCAGAAGAGATAAAAGAAACGTGATTCCCATTTTATGAATTGCGAGTCAGTGTGCCAGGGGCTAGTTAGAGGTTAATCTCAAGACAGTCTCTCCGTTTGTACTAGAAAGCTGTTTGCAGTTTGAAGGCCTAGGACTGTCAAGACTGAATTCAGCAGCAGGGTTTCTGTGACAGAGGAAGAGAGACTGCTTTCACATCAGATTCAAAACTCTCTATGGGCCTCATGGACAGAATGAAATAATGAATAATGCCCTTGTAACTTTCTGTCACTTTTGTTTGCTCTTTAATGAGCAGTACTTCACTTTTCCACTCCAGCTTTCAGGACAGCTGACACAAGTAGCTAAAAAGAGTTGAAAGTGAGCCACTATAAAATCTTTTACAAAATAAACTAATTAATATTTTTTTTTTCATGCTTCTATGTCTGCTGCAAGCTGAAGATCAGGATCAGTTTGCAAACATTAGCTGAATAGTATGCCATTTGTGCTGCTTCCCATAGGCAAGAGTCAGGGAATTGTATCTCAGGTAATTGAATTGAGGTGCAGTAACATTCAGAATTAATCTTGACCTCCCCATTCAGCTGCCCAGCCTGGTGGGAGGATAAAAAACAGGAGACCTGCATCAGCAGCCATCACTGTTGACCTTTCATTTATAGCTTACGAAAACTTGTAAGTTAAGAACTTACAGCTTATTCACACTCCACCTGCCCAGAATCTTTCTTTTTTTGAGATGTAAATTAGTATTGTCTGTAAAAATGAAATTATTTGAATTTTTGAAAGTGGCTGTAGTGTTTATATTAGGGTTTTTGTCAATAAATAGTAATAAATGCTTCACTGACATCATTCTAAAGTGGTGACAGTTGTTAGAGGGCTTAATAGAGTGTTGTATCCTGGCTTCCTGCAGAATTTACAATAAGGGCCAGTATTTAACAAGTATTTATGAAATAACAGCAGCTAAGAATAGCTACTGAAAGCCTTGGAGATGGCCAGGAAAAAAATTCTCACTAGAAGAGGGAGCATGCCAAAAGCACTGCAAATGGCTGGGGTCGAGAGCTCTAATAATATTTTCTTTCATTTTTATTTTTACCTCTGCAATACTCAGTTGCAGAACTGCCCTTGAGCAGCTCAGCCAGGGCTGGCTGGACTTAGAGCAGTTGAATAAACCTCTGAAATACATCAGTGTCTGTGCTGGTCTTGCTCTTTCAATTTCAACCTTTTTTGCCTTCCCTTCCTTGGGTTGTGCCTTCATGTAGCACGCCTTGAAGAAAGGCAGAAGACAGACACATCCCTGTAATAAATATAATTGGTTGTTGTAGGCTTTTTCATTCTATCATTAGGTGTTGAAGCAGATTCTTCAACCTATGTATAAGTGATTGGCATAGTTTGGAAGAGAGGAATAATATTGGTACTGTTTTGTTGTCATGACTCATTTTAATGCTGTGCCTCCCAGGATAACCTATTTATCCCACCTCCTGCTTGCAGTAGTTGGACTACATAGCTGTGGTTGTAAAATCAGACAGTGGAAGGGTGTCTCATGAAAATGAATGTAAACCTTATCTAGTTGATAAGCACTTACTAGAGTCAGGGCAGAGGAAAATTAAAAGGAGAAAACAATTATATTTTTTTTTTCAGTTACGTATCAAAATATGTTTTCTGTTCACTCTAAAATGCATAAATAGGTGAGACTTTCTTTTAGTATATAGCAGAAATGCATTTGGGAATAAGCTGTTCCCTAGCCAGGGTCCCAGTACTGGTTAACAAATGACACACACGCATCACTGACCAATGACACTTGGTGGCCTAGAGTCATTGAATGTGGTGAACATGGTGCCTCTCAGGTGCTAGTTCATGACCCTGTGTTTGTCTGTATCTGGTTGAAGAGTTGTGTTGTAGACAATCTCTTGCAAGATTCTCTCTACACATTTTCCTTAGCTATTCCCGAAATCGTACATACGACACCTATGTTGGGAAAGGTTATGTGATTGCTGGCATGGATGAAGGTTTGCTGGGTGTATGCACTGGTGAGAAAAGGAGAATAATCATCCCCCCTCATCTTGGATATGGAGAAGAAGGAAGAGGTGAGCTTGACTTTTCATTCCAATCTTCCATAGTTAATGAATTTGCTTTTATTGCTCAGTGCACCTGTGTGTAGTTCCATTTTTTTGGCATTTGAAAGGCTTATTAATTAGTTCATTATTTTGTGGGCATGCACCTGACAGGGTGACACCCAGAATTTCAAAATTATTTTAATTAGCTAAATAGGTAGGACAACAAGAATGCAGAACAAGCTCACATGTAATTGGTGGCCTGAAATAATTTGGATAATTAGTGTTTCAGGCAGCCTGGTACTTGGTGACCTGAACTCATTTGGATAATCAGGCTGGTACTTGGATGCCAGGAGCTCTGAAGTGTGAGATCATCCTACCTGTGTGTCTTAACAGGCTCTGTGTGCTGAAGGAATTAATTGTGTGAAGTTTTCTTCCTGGTTCCTTCCACAGCCACAGGTTTTGTGGACTCCTGAGCCACATCTGTAAATGGTGGATGCACATAGCAGCAAAATTCTGTCTATGTGTAACATACAATTAGGATTCCCTTGGGAAAACTCATTAAGACCTAAAAAGATAGCTGTGAGGGGTTCAATATAATAACCCTTCTAGCTGGTCGTGGTTTTATGGCTGGTGTTTCAAAAGGTACCTCCTGGGACGTTATTTGGAAAAAAACAGACTTAGGAGAAAATCCCCTCTACTAGGAATGCACATACAATGCTGTTGATTTGGGAATTAGACTCATCTACCAAAAAACCCATTCCTGGGCCTGGGTGTGTCTGTCAGTCTGATGATGTGATTGCAGGTCATGCTGGAGAGAAGTTGCTGTCGTGGCCTTCTAAAAACATAAATCCTTTTAGACATAATGGCATCCTTTGAAGCATGAAAAGTCCTAAGAGAATTTTGATGATCAATAATGAATTGGTACATGAAACACGAACTGGTTATTTAGGATGGCCACAGGAAATATATGGTTATTGCTTCATTTCTGCATAATTTTCAAATTCAGAATAATGGAATTTTTTTTCCTTCACTATTGACCCAAGTGCGTGTTTAGTGCTTTTCTGCTGGTTTTCTTTCTTACATTGGATGCAGCTGACATCTGTTGCATACAGAGGAGTTGTAATCCTTTCATTCTGAATGAGAGGGGCAAAATGACTTGGTAGCAGACACACTGGGAATATATATTCCTACAGGGTGCAGTACCTGGTCAGCATGAGCCTGTTTGTGTACTATTTCTTTCTCTACTTGCCTGATTTGTTTCCGATTTAGGAAAGATTCCAGGATCTGCAGTGCTGGTCTTTGACATCCACGTGGTTGACTTCCACAACCCCTCAGATTCAGTCAGCATTACTGTTAATTACAAACCTTCCAATTGCACCGTCCTGAGTAAGAAGGGAGATTACTTGAAGTATCACTACAACGCCTCGCTCCTGGATGGGACTTTGCTAGACTCGACGTAAGTGTGTCACTTAGTAGAGAAAAAGTCCCTAGCAGCTGTGAAAGCTGAGTGGTTTGCCTGCAAAGCAGGCTGGCAGGGACTACAAATTTTATCTTTTAAGTGAATTTATGTAGAATGTGTTTGTATGTCTGCCTGTCTAAGATATATAGGAGGAGGAAAAGAAAAAGGCAATCTGTCATAGCATAATGAGAGAACTGGGAACAAAGAGGCTTGTAGGAGGGTGTTGGAGAAGAACATAAACACTACAAGTGTAGTGATGCAACAGGTTGTCTCTGTGGCAGTTTGTTTAAATGGGCTAGTTTGGGTGTCTGGGCCAGTCAGACCAGCATGAGACAGGGCTCTGAGTGAACAAACTACCCAGGTGTATTCAGCTCTTTGGGTAGGGTTTGCACTCTGTGCCAATTCAGTGCTCCCGAGAGACTTCTGGTACTCAGTGTAGTCTTGTTAAAGCTAGCTTGAGGAAATGGTCACTGCCACATCTATACCACACATGGGTGCTGGTTCTCTTCTATTCTAGTGTTGCTTTAAGTGTCCTCATGGAGAAACTATCAGAGTGCTTGATTGCGACTGTGATTATAATGTTCCTCCTCCCTGTTGCCAGCAGGTTTATCAGGGGAGCAGAGATTGCTGCAGTCTGTCTCATATAGAACTAAAGTGAGCCCATCATACTGTTCACTGCAGCTACAAGAATATTTCTGCTAGCTATTTTCTGCCTTCATCTTTTGGATAATGCACGTCATCTAAAGATTATTTTCTTTTTGGAAGGGAAGTTGGGAAAAGCTATTTTTAAACATGTTATAAATAAGATAGAAGCAGCTCATAGTTTTCACAGCGTACACAGTAGCCTGCAGAGCTGAGAAGCTGCCTTATGTTGAAGCACATGATGTGATGTTGTAGGCAAGTATGTATGCAATAATGCATTTAGATTCAAAACACCTTTTATATGGTAGGAATGCTCAATTCCCATTTCGTAGCAGGAACCAAGGGATGTCAAAACTGTTATATTCAAAGCAGTTTATAGAGAATCAAAGTTCATGAATCTCATGCTCCTAATTTTAAGGCTGACCTCCTAGCCACCAAACTGTTTTCTTTCCAAATAATACTGAGTTGTACAAGCATGTCCTGCCAAGCCAAATAACCAAAGAAAGGAGACTGACAAAACAAAGGGTTCTGCTGCTGTGACACACAGTGAGTGAAAAGTCTTAACACTGCACACTCTGCTTTTAGAATCACAACTCGGGTTTAGCTTCTGGGGTTTTAACTCATTACAATTTCTAATTTTAGAAATGAGCCACCAACAGCAAGGTATAATTAAAAATATTATAGTGTTAAGTAGCAGCAGTAGTAGTATACTTCCAAGCAATTTTGGTTAAGTGATTGCTATGTTGTAGTGATTGATTTCATGAAAAGACTTGCTACCTTGAGAACAGCTTCAGGTAACTGCTTGGTAGAACAGAGCATTAGGCATAAAGATAATTTTTTGGCAATGACAGGATATACTAACTGGAAACTGCTGTTTCTGTGGTGATTTTGAACAACAGACACACTCTGCTGTATGTTGAGATGTTTTGTTTTTTCTTCCCCTCCAGACACAGCCTGGGCAAGACTTACAACATAGTTCTGGGATCTGGGCAGGTGGTGATAGGGATGGACATGGGCCTTCAGGACATGTGTGTCGGGGAACGACGAACAGTTGTTATTCCACCTCATCTTGGTTATGGAGAAGATGGAGTTGGTAAGTGAGTGAAAGCTACTGCACGTCCACTTAGCATCTCTCGAGTAATTGAAACATGAATGTGCATGTTTTGTTACTTGCTGTGCCTGAGGACATAGGGTGAGTGTCTCTTACCTGCTTGAATGAGATTTTTTAAAGAAGTTTTTAATTCCATGATTTTAGCCAACCCCCCATTTCCAATGAAAGGAACATACTGTCTGTGTTGTCTTTTAAGTCATACTCTTACTATGGGCAATATAAAGACCATTCCAGAACAAAAGGGAACACATGCCCCCAGTAATGCTGCTTTGTCAAAATGGAAAGCTCCAGGCACTCTGGTGTTGCAGAGTAATGTAAACACTGTTCTCTGGGATAGGGAATTGGGTCCTCCTGCTTGGACATGTGACGTGTTGTTCAGGAAACAAAACTAAAGGGGACTGTTAAGCACTAATATGTTAGAAATTGAAAGAAAACTCAAAATTCAGAAACTACATAAACTGAACATAAGATGTGAAACAGTTTGCTGGTGCTGTCCAGACCCCAACACCAATACATTTAAGGCAGGTTGCTCTGTTTTAGAGCATTGAGGCTTATACATTTTTAATAACAACAATAACAAAAGGAACAATATAGAAGTGATGAGAAATCTCATCTCCCAGTATGTGTGGTTGTTACTGGTCTTCTGAGTTAAAAGACATGACAGAATGGAGTCTACTGGGAGATTGCCAAGATCAACACAGTTTGGTATGTATGGAAACAGTTGCACAAGTTGCAGTGTTTTTTGAGTAGCTCCAGAAGAGTTTGTATTTTATAAAGACTGCCTGTCAGGCATCACCTGCCCAACTTAATTGTAGAATCAACTTGTGATAAGAGATGAAGAAGTGTTTTCACTTGTACCTGTCTTCCATAAAAAATTATTACTATTATGTATGCACCTTCTTATCCTATTCTATACAATTGTATAGTTATATATAATAAATCAAAAATTTCCTCATAATATAAAAAATGTGCTGTGTTCAAAAACATTATAAACAATACCTGTCATAGGCATGTGCCACCATTCAAATTGCATTCCATGTACATGACCTGCAATTGGCATGAGTGTTAGTGTTTTGGTATAAAACCAGATATCTGAAGAGACTGCTCGTTTGCTACTGGGCAAAAGTTAGAGGTGATCTCAGTTTTCCTTTTCTGGAATAAATTAAACTCCTTTCATGCCCTCATTGAGGTAACATCCCAAGCTGTTGGGACACTGTTCAGTCTCTCAGTAGTGCTTTGATACACAGTGTGTTGGCAGGCTAGAGGAGAATTGTTTAATTCCCACAGTTTTACCTGGGGAATGGATGCAGTTTTATTCTGAAGGTTGCCTTTATGTTTTGATCCTTTCTGAACTGAACAGGAAGATTTGTTGGGATTGGGTTCTTGGGGCTTGGGGATCACTGTAGGGAGCCTGTTGGATCAGGAAGAGAAATGTAATTATGGATTAAAAGGAAATACACTCTTAAATGTAAGTGAGGATAAATACCTCTGTTTGCCATTTGTTGTGACAGAAGGAGAAGTGCCTGGGAGTGCTGTATTAGTTTTTGACATTGAACTGCTGGAACTGGTGTCTGGCTTGCCTGAAGGATACATGTTTGTATGGAATGGGGAAGTCTCTCCCAATCTTTTTGAAGAAATAGACCAGAATCATGATGGAGAGGTTCTTTTGGAAGAGGTAAGCTGAGGCAGTGAAAACACTTGCAGTAGTTTTCTCCTATCACCATCACCAAGATGTTTTCTCCTACCAGCGTCAACTCAGATGTTGCAGAATGGGGTCTTTCCTCCCTCTCTCCCCTTTTCTTCCCTCTGTCCCCCCTCTTTTTTTCCTTTCCTCCTCTCTTCTCAGAGTGGTTGTTGTGAAGTTAACAGGAAAGCAAGTTGTCAGTTAAAACATGCTTATTTACCTTTAGAGATGGAGCCAGAAAGAAATCTAAGAATGGCCATACTACATAAGACAATTTACTATTGGCTGCCCTACTGAGGTTAACAACAGATAACTTAGGGCATAGGATGCAGCCTTCAGTGTCTGTTGAGTGGAGGTTTATGGTGAGTTTCTGAGCCAAAGCTGAGGCTGCAGCAGTGCATCCAGGAAATATATAATCACTTCTGGAGCCTGGCAGTGCCTGTGGCTACTCCTTCAGTGGGTGAATTGTGTGCTGTGTAAGCAAGTCTCCTCCTCCTTGCTTGCTTTTAAAATCTGCAGTGTGAGAATGTCATTAGGTGCTCTGATTGAAATCCACTTGCCTGTGCCACACCATCTCTCGTAATAAACCCCTCCGTTTTCTTCTGCATTTTCTCTTAACCAAGTTCTATTTTTTTCACTCTCTTCTTTATCACTTTTCTCTATCCTATTTTCTGTCCTTGCTGTCCTTGGAGTAGTGCTGCCTGCAGCTCTGAGGGTGCAGGCCGTGGACCTATGGAACAGCATGAGATGCCTTCCAGCATTTTAACAAGCCAATGGGGTAAAATCAAAATCTCATTTTCCCCTCTTCCTAACACTCTCTTCCACCTCTTTGTTTTCCTTCTTTCTCCATCTTCTCTCTTATGTTGACCTCCTCTTCTGTCCTTGCAGGTAAGAAAAGACCTTTTATCAGTCTAGAGAATGAGTGAGGTGGGATGTGACTGTTGATATCCACATCCTTCTGGGTCACCTAGCAAGGAGCAGGAGAAGCCAAGAAACGAGGAGAGGATGCTTGGCCTAAAAGGTGTAAATGGAAGTCAGAAATAGCTTTCATTGCTGGAGCTTATTCAATGGGTAGCATCAGAGATGTAACAGTAATTGAAAAAGTTGTGTTTGACTGTGGATTTCCTGGTTTTGGCAAGACAGCAGGATGACTTCCAGATGTTGTCTAATCACCTTGAATAACTTCATCATGAGTAGAAGGAAAAGGATTTCTAGGGACAACTAACTTTGTAACCTTCCCCACCATGGAATCAAGCAGAAGTCAGAATGCCTGAAGCTACTTTAACAAATCGTATGGTATCCTGATACTTAAAGGCTCTCTTCTGTGTTTCATTCTTTTTTCTTGTGTGTTGTTTCTTGTGAGGTGCAGGTGGATGTCTGTTTTACAGTGTGAGTTTCTTGTATCAGCATGCAAAATTAAACCCTATCTCTCAATTTAGATCTTTTCTAATGTCGGTCTCTGTTCAACTCATCTTCCCCGTAAATTATGAAAAAGAACTTACTTTGTTACGGGTCCAGGACCTGCTGCAATAAGTTGAGCTCCACAAAGAGTGATTTAACCTCATGTCAGTCCTAATTAGTGCAATTTGGATTGTAAGCTATGTAGGATAGTAGCAGTGTACTTTTATGTACACTTAATCACTAAAAAGCTAAATAGTCAACAACAAATAAAAGGTACTTTTTAAAATTCTGCAGTTTTAAGTGGCTGTTTGACTGTGAGCTGTTTTCTCCTCCTTTCCCTCCACCTAGTTTTCAGAGTACATTCAAGCACAAGTCGATTCTGGCAAAGGAAAACTGGCTCCTGGTTTTGATTTTGAAAAGATTGTTAAAAATATGTTCACCAACCAAGACCGGGATGGAAATGGTAAAGTTACTGCTGAAGAATTTAAGTTGAAAGACCAGGAGGCCAAAGAGGAACATGATGAACTGTAAAGCTAAGAGAAGAGAAAAAAAAAAGAGTCCTGAGTTGACCTACCCTTTGAAAGTGTGTACTGGAAGAGGTTTCAGCAAGCATGTTTCTGAAAGGTCAGCACTCAGACAGCCTGTGTCTGCCTGTGCCTGTGTGCTGGTAGGCTGTTAAAACAGGAAGAGATTTTCAGCTGGAATTGTTAGGGATATCTGAAAAAAGTGTTAAGTGCCTCCAGATAGGATGTTTAAATGGATAAAGAGTCTACTGCCATATGTGCTGTTGTGAACCACGTGGTCTGTTTTTATGCTAAAGATTGGAGGTTGCCATTGAACAATACACAGTCACTTGGATGGTTGGATGGATGGTAGGGGGGGAAAAATGACTGAGTGCTTGTAAAAGTATTTTAAAACAACCTTCTGTATCCAAAATATTTCTGCAGGGTAACAAACTAGGTAGTATTCCCCATTAAAATAACCTGTAAAAATGGTCAGACATTGAGCCCAGTCCCTTTCAGAAAGCACGAGCAGTCTGTCCACTAACTGAACAAACTCCTACAAATATTTGCCAGCAGGAGCTCTGATTTGCAAATTCAGAACATGCAAATGATAGCTGTGCCATTCCAAAATTTCTGGAAGCTGTGAATTAAATATGACAGGCCTAGAATTGTAACTGTTTATGTGTTGGGTTTTTACCTTAGGAAATAAGTTTGCTACTATCTCTATCATATTTAATTAATAACCTTGACTCTTCTTGCTGACCTGGTGAAACACTGTTCTGACCAGTGATTCCCAAACCTTATTAGTTGCAACCTTATTTATAGTTTTGTTAGATTTTAAATATTAGTATTATGGGGTCCAAATACTGTCATGAATAGCAGGTACAACTGATTTTGTGTTGGGCTTCTGCCTCCTATTTTGGGAATTGTTACACTAAGGAATAAGTACTTAGAGCTTATACAGCAGAGCAGTCTGGCATGGCTAACAAACAAAAAGACAGTGATAGAATCAAGAAATAGACCCATATGTTTATGCTTGCAAAATGTTCTGGCCTATCTCTCAAAACACAAAATCAGCCCTGGGAGAGCTGTTTAGATTATATGAACTCCTGAGACAATCACCCATTAGATTTAGAAATGAAATACATGAAATACACTGAACAGACAGACCTGTTTTTTGGGAAGGCTGTGGGATCCCCTCTCAGCACACTAGATGTAAAGAGCACAAATACATATAGTGAGACACTGTTGAAGACAAGGGAGTTGTGCTTCCAATTATATGCTGTGTGACTGGTTTCTTGCTTTTCTTGATCTGTACACATGGGTTGTAAGCCCCCTGAGATGCTCTTCTTAAAAACTGGCCTTTCAATTGGATGAAAATGTTTTGTATTGGTTTTTAATACAGTTGTTATAGAAAGTGCAGTGAAATATTTTTTTTGAGTTCGATACCATTAAATGTTGGATAACTGATCTTTTTGTTAAATAAAATTTTGATCAACTACAGCTACTAAAGTTGCTTGTTGTTTTTTTTTTCTTCTGACATTTTGAGGGGTGGGGAATCTGAGTAGAAGCAAATACTCTTCTGTAGCACTTTTCTAGCACACATAGAGGGCTTATCCTGAGCACGTTCAATATTGCTATTGATTTTTAGGAAAAATATTTTAAATTGAGATTGTTTGATTCAAAATTATGCAGAATAATAAACAACAACAATACAAAAAAATACTATAGTACTTTACATGGGTGAAGTCATTCTTTGGATTCCCTAAATTACCCAATCTGTGTTAGTGTGGCACCTGGGAGGATGATAGTTCACTCAGCTGGGAATGCCAAGTATCTTGTTGAAAGGAAAATATTTTATGTAAGAAACCTTTCATTCCCAAAGCTAGTGGAAGCAAACTCACTGGGCTTTGCATCTGAGGTTTAGTGTTTTCACTTCATCTGTAGCTCCAAAACCACATCTATTGCATGTAAAACACTGGAAGTCTGGTCTAGTTTGGGGTTGATGTAATAGTGGCCCTTTATGCCAGATGTAAGAGGATAGCACTTGTAATCCAAAAGTTTATGACTGGAATGGCTCCTTAGAAGCAGTATTATCTTGTGAAAGCAACTTTCTTAGAAGACTGTTGCACCAAGTTTTCTCCTTTCTTTTATTTGGAAGTAGGTTGCTGGCTTGTTGCTGTGCTTCAAATGCACCAATTGCTTCTGCATGCTTATGGAGCTGAGATGAGGAGCTGGAAGCGAGTGATTGAGTGTTGCCAGAAGCTGTTCTCCATGTGGAAACAACACCTTACTCTCTTCCAACATACCCCAAAACTCAACTGTGTCTTCTGTGTATCCAGAATTTTTTTTTCAGAGAAAATCTTAGCGAATGGCTCTTTCTGCAGAGA